TCGTCAGACTCGGGTACATATTCTAATCTAAAGTATGCAACTCAATATGCTGTTTCTCAACGATGTTCTCTTACAAAGCTCTTTTATTTTTATTCAGCAAAATGACAGATGTATTGTTTAACATTGTCTTTCTTGACCGAAATATGTTCTTCGCATAATCTTTTCTAACTAATCAATATTTCTTAAAAATAAAGGTATATACGTAGAGAAAACAGCTAATCTCTATGTTACGATTCAACATACTTCTGTTGCTGATGTATAGAAACTACCGTATATGCAAACAAAATCATGAACTGTATTTACTTTGAATACACTTATTATTATATAAGAATGAATTTCAAATACAAATAACGCAGCGCTATTTGCGCATTACAAAAAAATTACCTATGAGAAGATAAAATTTACAGAATTGATACTGAGATAAATCGAGACAGACCGAGTCCAAGCTGCTCGGTATAAGCTTAGTTGTATGACAAAGTCTTTTAATAGATTAAATTGAGGAATGCTGTAAATTGAAATACAAAAATCTCATATATCTGTTACTTAAATTTCTAAAACAATGATATATCTTTGCGACAATAGTCTTGTATTTTGACATAAACTAAGGGAATACAAAATCGAAGTTACGTCGTGCATTGTAAATGTTTTGAAAATCATATAAGTTAAAGGTTTTGTTAAAGAAACTATTGCTCATTTCAAAAAAGAAGGTGGATGGGTATTTTTCGAATAACTTTTGATAGAAGCAGGATAGGGAGCTGCGATTTTTATCGTTGGAAAGAGGAGATCGAGACGCATGGAACTGTATATTATAGAATAATCTGACTCGGGTTTTTCAAGGATTTACACCGATGTGTTTGAACATCAACTTTCTCCGTATGGTGAATAAAATGAATTTTCAATAATCAGATGTGTATTCGAACCGCTAATGAAAGAACTATACAACCGCGTAAGGTTCAAACTTCTAGATTTACTCGTTCAGGAGTTATAGGTATTCTACTTGAAACTATGAGTCGGTTTTTCCATTAATTTCTGTAAAAAAAATCACTTTTCTGCGTTTTTCTTATTTTATGAGAAACCAATTTTTTGGCACTTTTTTTTTAGAAGATTGGCTAAGAAAACTTTAGGACACATTTTAGAAAAACTTGTAATATACGATTCGATGTGTCTTCATCTCATCTTTCCAACGGTGAAAATCGCAGCTCTCTATCTGGGTTCTGTCAAAAATCATTCGAAAAATACCCACCCGCCTTTTCTTTTGAAATGGACAATAGAAACGCCAATATTCATTTCAGGTAGTGTTCAATAGTAGGATTAGGTTTTGGTATTTAATAGATTTCAACTTGTTGAGATTAACAGTTATTCTTGAGTTCTAAAAGTTCTATTGAATTCTTGAAGATAATAGTAGGAAGACTGAGTAATGAAACGATCTATTTCATATTGTACTTGACCATCCATTCTCTAACATATATCTTTCTCATCTTTAGCTTGCATTGTTTCTACTCCTATCGTTTTTTTCTGTGTGATTAATAGATGTATGATTAAACTATAGAAATTTAAAAAATCTAATGGAGAAGATTAAAAAATTCCAGTAGATATGTTTTTTTTTACTAGACTAAGTCGTTTTTCTTGTTTATTTAGATCGATGATGTGTGTTCATTTTTCGAACATGTTCTTGGAAAGAAATGCTATGCATCCATAATCAAAGAACATTTAATCGATGGAGTAGCTCTTACTCTTCTACAAGATGAACACCTTAATAGTATTTTTAAAATGCAATTGGGACCTCGATTGAAATTACTTAATAGTATCGATAAACTTAAAAATGATGATCTTTCTGTTTTATAATTCAACTTATTTTCAACACCAACAAAACAATCATTATTTTCTTTATTGAACAGTAGAAAATAAAATATGATTTCAGTAAAAACTATGTCAAAAACGAAGAATTCTATATAAAACATGCTTTAAATAAAATATTCAAATGAACAAGCATCTTCGAAAACAAATAATATTTCTCACTATCAAATGAATCATCCAATACCTTCCAGAAATAGAAAAAAAATATGTGTGTACCATTTTCTTTTCTATTTTTATAAGTTTTTACAAAAATCTGAATCAGAGCTCGAAAACGAACCGAGTTTTTGAAATTCGAGTCGAATCGAACCCGAACTTATTTCCGACTTTTCTGTTAGTTGAGTTGAACCTAAGTAAAAGTAATCGTTCCAACTGTACAATATAGTTTGCTTCGGGTATGTTGAACTGATGAGGATTGCAACGAGTTTTTATTCATTGTGCTATACACCATAATAGTTCTTAGCACAGTAGGACTGCTATTTTGTCTTGTTATCAATAGGATTCGTTGTTTATCACGACGATCGGTCAACCAGTCGCAAGCTAATACATAGCGGACTATTTTTTTTCTTTCTTTATCATTGCTATTCAATGCGATGAATAGCCAGCAATAGACTATTTAGGAATAAAGTTGGAAAAAAACCATCTAAAATTAGTGCGCTAGTGTTCTTATCCTTTCAGAGCAAAAACATCACCTGACAGACAGTAGGGTCACTAGAAGTTACAGTTCTACTGCACTCGTTCAACGTAATTATACGTTTTTTCGAGTAGATACGATTTGAACGGAACCGAACCCGAACCAAATTTTTGAAACTGAAGTCGAACCACACCGAACTCAAACAGATTTTTTGAAGCTAATGTCGAATCAGACCGGACCCGAACCCGAAAACTCCGGTTCATTTCGGGCTCTGATCTGAATGCTAATTGCGTCGAATTGTGGCTTGCATATGAGATAAATATTGTAGGTTTTTTCAGCTTATACTCTCGAACTCATTTTCTAGCATGATACAGATAGACCTCTTCGAATTTGATACGATTAAAAGATTGAAAATTATTCCACAACTGGTAAAAGATATTTAAAAAAAAAACGCTACCATGATATGATTGCAAAATGCTTTGCGAAGGTTTTTTACAGGTTAATCGAAATTCATTAGTATGCATACTAATTAGAAGTTTTAAAGTGACTTTTTCTTGTTGATTTTATTTACATTGATTTTTTTGTTTCATTGAGAGTAGAAACTTTTCCCTTTTCAATCAAGATCGACTGCAACAGGTACTGATATATATATTTTCAGTGCATAACTGTTTTCAGAAAACTAACCGCTTGCTTTGCGGATAGTTCTTTCGATATATGTCTGGTCGAATTATTTCATCCTTCAAGTGATAGACTATATTGTACCATTATTTAAAATTTTATTCATTTATCATTGGAAGAAACAATGATGCTTCATAGACAGGGTAGAATTTATTATAGAATTAATATTAACAATTTAAAAGTCTTGCATTAAAAACCAGTCGATTCCTTTGATTTTTTTCAGCTTTGTGGTTCACGGCTATTCAATTATTTGTTTCGTCTGATGTAGATTCAGACTGTGAATCGATCTGTCTATTATTTGAGATGCATGATCGTTGGTAAATTGTTTATCAACACGATCAGCATGTATAAGGCTCTTATCTTCTTCGGAGTGCTAATTTTTGCGAAACTTCATTAAAAAAAGAAGAAAATAGTTAAAGAATATTACATTTCTTCAAAATCTCCACATATTTTCATTTAGTTCTGCTAGTTCTAGCTTACTATTCGAATGAATATACGAATCAATAGCTCTTTTTTTTCTTTGGCAGTGAGGTCATAGGATTGACTATTTCTCCTTCTATACTCAATAAAACCCCGTCTGGTCAGTTTCGGATTTGAAAATTTTGAAACCGACATACTCTAATATTCAGTGAAATTTATGTTTTAACTTCTCGGTATTATGAATTGAGTGCCTTTATAGGAATTATTGTCCTATACATAATCATGCTAGCTGATTCTATAGCTTTGTTTCAATAATATAATATGAATATATAAGGTTTTAACACGAGATGAGAGTGATATATTTATATTTATTCAACACAAGAACAACTACACTTTCATAAGTTCGTTTCTTTACTGAAAGCCGAAGGATTACTGTCAAAGCATGACACCATTAATTCTTTCGTAGAATATAATAGCACTATAAAAAGAAAATCTGTTTTCATCCAAGGTCTTTTTCTCTAAACGGCAGTTTTACAATGTTTCGAAAATACAACTATGGTTAAACTTGTGAACATAAGATCAATTTAAATATATTCAACTACCGTTATTATTATTATTAATTGAAAAACACGCGAACTCACCTATCATATTGTTGTTCTAGATGAATCATGTCACTTGTATATCAAGAAGCATTTAAATTTTGTTGGCATATATTTGTTGTAGTATTTAATGTTGTTCATGATCATGATGATTTCAAATAAATAGTCTGAAAATAAAACTGACCTAAAAATATCTTCCTATTGAAATATAATATCTCAATTATTTACTAAATAAAATATCAAACAAAATCAGCATTGTATGACAACTAACAAAATTCAACTTCTTTCATATTATTATCTGTGAAAGCAAATCTTAGAATACATTAACACGTTATTTCTTTAATATAAACATAAGATTTTTATCATTGAAAGTCTTGAAAATTGATCGGATATTTAGAAACTTAATATTCAAGACATTTATTTTTCTACAGAAACTTTTCTAGAAAATAAAACTTTTTTTTTTCGTTTTTGTAAAACAAAAGAATGAAAGTTCTTGTTAACAAATGAAATGTTTTTTTTTTGAGTAATGAATTATTGAAATTATAAATATAATAAAAAAAAGGAAAAAACTTGAATTTATTGTTTGTACTGTTTTATTTTATTTTTTTTCATAGGCAACAAATCACAGCACACACGCGGTTTTTTTTCTAAAACATTGACTGATAAGTAAATTAAAAAAAGAACAATGAAAAAAAAAACGTATGACAACAGTTTTACAGTAGATATAACAATGAATACACATTTAACACGCTCTTGTTTAAAAGCACGTCAATACATTAGTGCGTGTGTCTGTGTTATATAAAAAGAGCATTCATTTATTTAGTTTGTTCATTTGTTACATTAGATTTGGCTTTTTCATCATCAGTTTTCGGTACATCTTCAAGATCCGGCATTGGTTCATCGTCACTATCTGTTTCTTCATCATCAAGATCGTTGAGATCAGTTTCTGATGTACCTCCTAAACCAGCACCACCACCACCAGCACCCATTTGTTTAAACATACCATCTTAAAAAGAAATAAATAAATAATACAAACAACTTTTTTGCAAATTTATTTACCTAAATCACCCCAATCTTTACCACCAGCAACATCCATTTCATCATCATCATCAGCTAATTATTTTGAAAAAAAACGAAAGAATCTTTTTGTTTGTTTTGATTATCATATTTACCTTCAGCTGTAAAATGATTCCAATCGACGGTAATCCATGAACACTAAAAAAAAGAAAAAGAGAAAATGATTAAAAAATAAATATTTGCTAATAAATACTTTTTCAGTAGATTTAGTTAATCGTTTCCAAAATGGTTTTGTTGAATCTTTCTTTTTTAACATGAATTCCCAATGGTTTTGACTTGTTTTACGATATTTTGATATCTAAAAAAACAAAAATATAAAACAATTATTTTTTAATATTTGTTCCTTTATATTATTCGTTTAAAATAAACTTTTGATGTAATTCGCTAAAACACAGTTCAATTTTTTAAGATTTGTTAAACTATCTGTAAAGACTTTAGATTTAACGCAAAGTATATTACAACATTGGACGAACTTTTGTGTAACAAAAATTTCGAGTTCTTTAAATTCTATCTGATGTACACTTAAGAATAAAATATTAGTTCTCTTTTAGTCATATATTTCGAGAGTGGATATGATGTTTAATATTCGATCTTTCTAAAGGTGTTTAAGCCCCGCCTCTCAAAAATCGATCTTGGACAGCGTACATTCAAATTGCATGAAATTTTCCGAAGATATTCAACAAACAAGAGTCAAAATAGCTCATTTAACAGCTCGAAATTCCCTATGGATTTTCATTATATATACTTAGTTTGCTTTTTGTTTGAAAGAGCATATCAGAATGCTGATCATGGCATGGTCCTTGTTTTCATTAAGGGGAGAAAAGCTCATGTTTCAAAAAAATGGCGCTCTAATTATAAAAGTACACATTTATATAATAGTAAAAAGAAAACTTAACTCAAAAAAAAGGCTTTCGTCATGTCCTATATCTTGACATGTTCTTTCAAACGATAAAAAACCGATAAGTTACAATGAAGCTCCTTCAAGAATTCTAGGATGTGAGAACAAAAAGACGTATGTTTCAAGCAGGTGATGAGAAAAATCATCCATAACTTTCGCAAAAAAGAAGATATTGCATTAGTATTTTATTCAATTTTTCTCTTCAGAGAAGACGATTTAAAACTTCAAGAGAACGAACAACTATTTTTAGGAGCAAAGATACATCATACATGGTACAATAACCACAAACACTTAGAGTTGCACTGCCCTTGGGCTATTGTCCCATGCATTTAACTTAGTTTCGATAATTGACTTTTTTGAGGGAAAGGAATGGGCTTAAATATTTGATGCACACCCGTTAAACAGTTTTTACAAGCTGAAAACCATTTTTTTTTGTCGCTATGATCTTTCTTCAAAAGTATTTTAGGATGTATAGCGCTTATTCATTATAATATGAAACAGAACAAACTTACTTTTGGATCTATTTCATCAAAAAATTCTAATGTTGTATCATAATTTAATCCTTGTGTTTGTTGTCCTCTAAAATTGAAAGAAACAAGAAAAAAAAGCAATCATTTATCCAATGAAATACACAACTTCCTACTTAAAACGAAGTTTTGTTGGTTCAATATTTATTTCCGGTTTATCAATATCTTGTACAGCAATTGTTAATAAAATATGATCCTTCTTTTGACCCCATTTTATCAATGGATGAGTATTAGCCCTATAAATTAAAACTTTATAACATATTTTACTAGATAAAAAAGTTGCATACATATTTAATGTTTAATTCAATTTGTAAAGATAAAATCTTGATTGTAACTATTAACCCGGTTATCACTCAATAGCACTAAATGAACCAAAGAAAAAAATAATAAACAATATTGAATAAAGAAAAAAGCCAATGATTTTATTTCTTAGCGCCCTCTATTTCTAACCTCCTTGATGTAAATGATTTACTACTGAACTGAGTCAGAAAGGATTTATTATTTTAAAATAAACTAACCGACAAACATTTAAATCTTATCTGTGAAGATTTTTTCTAGATAACATTCTAAAATGGCTTTTCGTAATTTTACACGAAGTTTATTTCAATTTACTAAACTTACGAATAATACAAATCAACGTTTATATTCTTCAATACAACGAAAGTCATATCAAACATTTAAAATAACTCAACGTTATATGCCAATACGAACATTTTCATCAATACAAACAAATGATAATGCTTATCGTGATTTAGATACCTTCCTTCAAAAGGAAATTCAATTAGAAAAAAGTGCACAAAAACATCCAAGCAAATTACCAACTATTCCTAATTTTCAGGTTGGTTTTTTTTGTCTTTTCTGTTTATATTTTCCTGGTTTGTTTTTTGTTCTAGGTTCAAGCAAATGGTCCAGAAGCAACATTAACTCGTGACATAGGCAATGGAAAAGTTGTTGTGAAATTTAATGTAACAAATACGGTTAATGCAAGTGATTCTGAGCAAGAATCTGATTTACAATCAACAGGACAAGAACAACAACAAACGAATAATTCATCATCACAATTAAAATCTCGACCAATATTTACAGTTGATATAAATCGTGGTGGACCAACATTATCATTTCTTTGTTCATATTTACCAAATGATTATCCGGATACACGAGAACATCAACATTCAACAGAAAACGAACAAAAACATAATCATAATGAAGAAAATATTAATGAAGATTTTCAAATAGATGAATTTACTATACATGATGGAGAATGGAATGAAACTGTTTATAGTTCAGATTGTTCAGTTATTGATGGAGAACTTTATGATAAATTACTTAATTTACTTGAAGAACATGGCATTGGCGAAGGTTTGTTTAATATTAAAGTTTTATTTAAAAAAAAAATATTGAGAATTTTTGAGATATAAATTCAAATCTTATGATCGTTTTTTATTTCAATTAAAAATTATTTTCGAGAAAAGAGTCTATTCAAAATACTGTTATACTACCAGAGAGACAAGAGACGAACCGAAAGTTTCTAGGCAAAATATTTGGCATTTTTTTGTGTATTAAATCGTATTGGTAATGTATTAGAAACTTGTTCGAGGCATGCTACAAAATTTTATCGAATATATTGACAGTTACAGAAAATAGTTCTCTACAAAAGTTAACAAGGTTCTAGACGAGTGAGTTTTATGTCCTTTCTAAAGTTTCTTCTGACTTAAGATTGATCTATCACTTCCTCGCAAATTATCGTTTAGTTAGATTCAGTAAATGTGAGTGTATAAAACACATTTCTTTATTTTTATTATATTACAAATCAACTTTATTCTTGACATTTATTATCAATATACTTTTTGAAAAGATTCTGGTAGAGCAGAAATAAAATCGATCATTGATATGATCTGATTTGCAATGCTTATTTGACTCATAGAAGGTTTTTTTTTAATTATGAAATGTAATAAGAAATAATGTAGACGAGTGTAAAGAAGAAATTAACGTAAACAAAATCAATCAGTCGTGACAAATTATGATGCATTAAAGTGTACAATAAATCCAGGTACATTTATAAGTATAACAAAACAAACAGTTATGATTGATTTTTTAAAAGATTCAAGTCATGTTAGTGTTGAGCTGTAAGAGAAACGATACTCATATCTATATGTATTTTTCTTATCGTTTTAAAACCTAATAAAAAAATTTTTGAAGTTTTCTTTCTGATTATCAATAAATTAATTCATATCTACTTTTAGAATTTGCTAATCAACTTGCTGATTTTTCAACAGCTTATGAACATCGTCAATATATTGGTTTACTTGAAAAATTACAACAATTTGTGAAGAAATAAATTTAGAACATTTGATTAGTTTCGTTCTAGACGTTATTCTCTAAATAAAAATAAATAGCAAATAACATGATTTATCATCATCATCATGTGAAAATCTGATAAAAACAAATTGATTTTGTTATTTTTTTTCTACATCTAACATCATGTTAAGAATCTTATTTGCGATTTGTATTTTATTTCTTTCTTGGATTGTTTCGACAATACAAACATTAGCTATTGTTAATTTAGTTGTTATTCACAACTAGAAATTTGCAATATTACTTTTTACAGAACCAATCTCGATTAAAATTTTTTGTTGAGTCTGATCTTGATTATAATTTTATATTGGTCTTGGTTCGAAGTAATTTTCTGAAAGATATTAAGCCGACATTTTTATATTTATTATTCTATTCTCGAGAGCTATCAAAGTACTTAGGGTTATTCAAAAGTAGTGACGGAGGTTCTTTTTTTTCTTATAGAAAACTAGAAAAAATTTTCTTTTTTTATGAATAGATAGAGGGTCTTTCGCTCTATCTTTCTATGCTATTTGATCATTATTAAACTAGTATCATAATAATAAAATTTCGATAAGAACTATTTTTGTTGAAAACCAGCTAGTAACATTTAGATCATAATGAGTGTGGCATAAAAAATGGGATACTTTTGCATTTCATTCTATTATCACTCAATACGTTGTATTAAAAAAAACAAAATATACCAAAAGATGCAGCGTGAAAAGCTCTACAATTTATAAAGTACTGCTTATTTTATAGTTGTACTTTTTGTTTTATCATTGTATCATTGCTCTTTGTAAATTGTAGAGCTCTTCACGCTGTATCTTGCAGTGTGTTTTGTTTTTTAAAATAAAACATATTAAGTAATAAAAAAATGAAATAGGAAAAACGAAATTCATCTTTTACCAAAAAAACAATCTCGTTTTCGCAATGTCGAAATTTGGTAGCTCAGAGTTTTATTCATTTTTAAAACAAAAAGTACAACTATAAAATAAGCGGTACTTTATAAATTGTAGAGCTTTTCACGCTGCATCTTCTGGTATATTTTGTTTTTTTAATAGAACATATTATCTGATAATAAAGTGGAATGCAAAAATACCACATCCATGATGATCTAAATGCTACCAGCTGGTTTTAAACAAAAATAGTTTTTATCGAAATTTTATTATTATGATACTAGTTTAATAGTGATCAAATAGCATAGAAAGATAGAGCGAAAGACGCTCTATCTATTCATAAAAAAAGAAAATTTTTTCTAATTTTCTATAAGAAAAAAAAGAACCTCCGTCACTACTTTTGGATAACCCTAAGTACTTTTATCGGAATCTCACGTAAAAAAAAAGCCGATTTTCGGACTCTTTGTCAAAACACAATAATAAATATGAGAATGAATAGTTCAACTCTTGATAAAAACAATCTTCCGAGATCAACTTGAAAATTATAGATATCGATTCTGGTAAAAAGTGAAATTTTGATCCCAGCACTATCTTGAAGATTCCTATTAATAATGCAGAAAATTCATCAGTTCAGTGCAATATTATCTGGTTTACACCAAAATATAATACGTCACAAAGCTATTCTCTAAACTGAAAGGATAGGATCTAAGAACGAGAATTGACCTCTATCTGTTTGTTTGTAACATAGTTACTGAATGATAACTGTGGTACGCATGACCATTTGGTAGCAACGACTACTATCCATGGTACTATAAACGTAGACAGGATAAACAATTTAGACTTTCTTGAAAATAACTGAGCTTTAAATAAAAAAAACCATATGTAATTTTCACAAAAATACCGAAAAATGATGTATACTGAGCAATATTGTCACGAACTTTTCGAGTACTTTATAACCAACATTATTTTATTAAAAGATGCATCTTTTCACACTCTAAAAACCTATATAAAATTGGTCTCAGACTCTTAAAAAGTAACTACATAACAAAAGCAAGAAGGGTAAAACAAAGCATGTAAAATAGGCCAAATATTCGTCCATTTCACCTATAATAATAGATTTTTGATTTTGCAAAGTAAGTAATGGCATATATGAAATATATGATTTTATAGAGCAGCTTTCACTCTATCGAATGGTGTAATTTGATAATGGTTTTAATCAAATTTTTGTGATGAAAAAGTTCATAAACACAAATGATTGAAAAGTCGTAGTTTTTAACACACCAATATTTTGGTTCAAAACTATTAGGTCTACGAAGTACAGGGAGACATTGCTCATAGACTATCAAAGTTTGGATTTCTAAGTAACTTTTTATGCTCTTTCAAATTAGCAAACTCATTTGAAAAACAAAAATTTTTCTGCAACTTGTTCACGTGGTGATGTCATGGACGCTCTCCTAACATCTCAATACTAGGAATGATGAAATACATTCAAATTCTGGAAAAATTTTTCCATCTACTGTTGAACATGATAACCTGTTGTGTTTTTTCATATTTTTATTTTTAATAAATAACAAACCATATTAATTAGCGAGAGTCACAAATCGACAAATGATAAAAGCCTTATCTGCAACTCATAGATATGAAGAAAAACATTCGCATTTAATAAGTTTGAAATAGTTCTCATCAGAGCATCTAGTAAATAAAATGTCAAATAAAATTTTGTCATTTGGAAGAAAAACAGATTTCACAAAATGGCATTTTTTTTCACTATCTATCAATCTTTTAAAATGATAACTTGACGTTCAAATAAGATAGAAAATTATTCTGTTGTTAAAAAAAACAAGCAATAGTATCCTCGGTCAATTATTATCATGATACTTTATCTTTTCAGAACTGTATTATGTTTTGTTTTTAGCAGTACCTATATCATATAGTGCTCTATCTCAAATCTGGAATGTTCTCTATGCAAATAAAACGTCGAAATCATTGTCATTTGTCTTGATTTATCGATAGACAGCTATGAAGATAGTATAAAACTTAAATTTTCTATCAATATAAATTA